ACAAACAGACTAATAAAAGCTAGAATTCAGGAGCATAATAATAGACAGTATGCGAGACACTGTTATATCGACCTACCTGTAGTAGTACGTCGTGCCAGATATGAAAACCATGCATTTAAATGTAACAATAATGGGATATGAACTACACACATGAAATAAAAACAAACGATAACAAGGGACATTCATTCTATAACCTCCTAACTGATAACACACTTGGATATCCCTCTTAAAAACAGTCAAATAGTTAGCCAGTTTAAGTCCTAATAGGAGACACCCCTGACGAGTTCGTTTAAGTCCTAACCCTAACGAGTTAGTTTAAGCTCTAATGGGGAAGACCCCTAACGAGTGGATAGCACACCAACTTTTTCTACCATAAAACTCGGGATCGAATCCGGGCCAGTACCACCACAAACACAGTCTTTCTGATTACATCCCTAATGAAGGGAACAGATTAGCAACCGAAACATAGGATATAAGCTAATTATTAATGTGTGTATGGTAATAAAAAATAGTAACTAGTAATTAATAGTTATGCATGAAGAACCGTTTGCTTTTTACAAACTTTCTACTGGACTTTAGCTTGATATTCACTCCTAAGAAGGTCAGCGGTAAATCTGAAGGCTTATAACGCTAAAAGCCGAGTTTCGATACCCGTGCTGGGCACAGTGCAGGTAGCCAGTTATGTTACTTTGCGCTTAATAACATTATTGTTAGCCTGTACGATCACATTAGATGTTACATTAATTGTTTCTGAACAGAAATTAGCTGTTTCACTTATTCCTTCATTATTGAAACTTCTTTCTTATAACTCTAGAAATCGGGTTTCGATACTGGCAGTGGGCACAGCACAGATAGCCTATTGTGTATGTTTGTGCAGGTGTAACGAACTTATTTTTCAGCTCGTTCACAATTTCTTCTTCAGTTTACATAAACCTTTCTTATACTTTTGTAATTAACTGTGACGTTAAGATTGTTCCTTGTTAGGCCTCTTGCCACTACTCTGGCCGTGTTCCTAACCCTAAAATCACAGATGGGCGTTCGGTGACTCCACCTATATTTCCAACACATTTTCTAACCTATTTATACACCAAACTGCTCGTGGGCCCATGAATTTGTTTGCTACACGGTCACTAGTAACGTAAGAGTCACACACACGAAAAAGGAAGTGACGTAGATATCAAAATGAATCTTACTTTCTTACGTATTTGGTAATAAAAATGGGATATTGAATTTAATGTTTTGGTCAGTTCTTTACATACTAAAGTAGTAAGCTACCTAATATGATGCAATATGCGAATCATCAGTTAAAACGTAACTTCAACCTAAAACTTGCATATGAAACACGTTACGTACATATATAGCCCTTGTAGTTTTGCGCGAAAATTCTAGAAAAAAAAGGTTATGACATGTTTCTTTTCCGTTGAATTTCGCACAACACTACTCAAAGGCTATCTACTGTAGCCGTCCCTAATTTAGCAGTGAAAGACTAGAGGGAAGGCAGCAGTCATCACCACCACCCGCCAACTCTTGGGTTACTCTTTTACCAATGAATAGTGGGATTAACAGTGGTATTATAACACTCCCACAGCTGAAAGAGCAAGCATATTTGGTAGGATAACATCACTCACCGCTAACTCTTGGGCTATTGTTTTACCAACGAAAAGTGGGATTGATCGTAACATTTTAACGCCCGTGCAGCTGAATGGGACAGCATATATGGTGATGGAGTTCGAACCTGCAACCCACAGGTTGTGAGTAAAGCGCTCTAACCACCAGGCCGCAAGAAGAATCAATAGTAATGCATATAAAGTCCCGTGCTGCGAAAATAACATACAGGGTGGCCCAAAATTATAAATTTAATAATTAAATAACTAAGGAAATACGACCATTCAGTTTTCCACATATTGTATAGCCCAACTCAAAGAGTTTTTATTGTCATGTTTGTTTGTTTTCACTCCAGTGAGTAGTGTTAATCCGTAAAATGGCAACCATACAAGAAAAGGCTCAATGTGTCGTTTGGCTTGCAGTGACTGTGGTGCAGCGTAATTACAGACGCCAATATAGGAAAGAAGTATGGGGGTATGTTAAGGATATCGTGTATCACACACCTATAGTAAACATTATGGAACTAAGGCGAACGCAGACTGAAATCGAATATCGGTTAAACGTGCTGAAAGCCACTAATGATGCACACGTAGTAGACTACTGACGTGTCAATAAAAACTGTTTGATTTGAGCTACAAGATACTGAAAACTGCATGATTGTATTTTCTTAGTTAATTAATTATTAAATTTTAAAATAGGAAATATAATTTTGAACCACCCTATATATTATTTTACGATATTTATAATTTATTTTTAACTTTGGTCTGATCATTTTCATAATGAGACGTTATGATTTTGTGCTTTAGAATTTTCACATAAAGCTACCCAATGAAAAATTTGCGCATAGCTGTCCCTAATTTACAACTAAAGGAAAGACAGCTGCTAATCAGCACCTACCACCACCTTTTGGACTACTCCTGTATGATCAGACAGTGGAATTTGATTGTCACTATTATAGCGCACCCAAAGGCCCAAAGAGCGGACGCTTTTTTTTTTTCTTTTTGCGGCAATGAACTGCGAATCATGAATCCTCGGATTTATAATCCGCGCACGTTAACCAACAAACCACACCCAACACACAAAAAGTTACTAATGTAATATGCGCATGCTTAGAGTAGGTTAAGCTTGTTTGTGTGAGTTGATAATCGTTGGTTAGTGGAAGACTTGTTTCTTATATCATAGGCGTTGGAATAAAAGTAAGTGGGGTTCTGCTCCCCTGGAAAACGTTTACAGTTAAAGCAACAACTTAGATCTATTTTGATACCGTGAGGCCAAAGTTCGATGAAAACCAAGAAAATTCACCAGCGAGATTAACGAGCAGTTTAATAATCAACTTACGTTAACACAATCTCCGTAATAATTAATAACTTCATCTCAAGAAACAAAACCAAAACTATCAATTCAACTCTGCGCATGCTCATCTTTACCTTCAGTTTTTTATTATTTTCCTGTCCCTTGTTTGTTTGTCTGAAATTAAGCACAAAGCAACACAATGGGCTATCTGTGCTCTGCCCACCACGGGTATCAAAACCCGGTTTCTAGCCTTGTAATTCCGCAGACATGCCGCTGTGCCACTGGAGGTGGGGGCTTTCCTGCCCCTAGTATCTTGTTTGTTCTTTAAAAAAAACAGTAAATCTTTCTAATATCAGATATCCTATGCAGGATGTTTTCATTAAAGTATTGATTAATAGGTAAACATGATGTTTTTCATTAAATTACAAATTACTAGGTAATCGTGATGTATTCAGTTATTCACTGGCGCAAGTTCAACTGTTTCTACAAAAGAATCACGGATAACAAATACTAACAAGCGCTATATTCTCAGAAACTCAAACATGTGATATACTGTTAGTTGCTACCAATGAAACATTCAACGTTACTCTCACCAAGTACTGGTATTATACATTAACATCCATATTTTGCTTTATAAGGGTTTTCCTTAACGGTCACTGGTAATATTCTACCTGTCTCATGTAGAGATATTATGGTTTGTCAACGACTATTTTAGACATTATGACATCGCGTGCTATAAGTGAGGCTTAATGATGTATATTTTGTTTTATAACGAATTAAAACAAAATTACAGCTAAGTTATTATTTCATATAGTTATAATAGCTATTTTTGATAATGAGTTGAATAAATATAACTACAGATTTGAAATAAAAATCCTCCAAAACCATGTTAGGTTTGTTCTGTTTTTGGACAGCCAGATTTTACCCAAAAAATCAAACTGTTCGCTTTCGTTCTTATTTTTCAAATCTTTCTTATGCAATATATCCTGCGTATTAAGTGTTGTTTTTTTTTTATGACTATTGACACGGGGACTATTTTATTAATGCACTATCTCTGAATAATAATTTAAGGGTTTTTAGACTGTGGTAAAAAATTAAGTGTTTTTTTGTATGACTATTGACACGGGGACTATTTTATTAATGCACTATCTCTGAATAATAATTTAGGGGTTTTTAGACTGTGGTAAAAAAAAAAAAAAAACAGGCCTAGTTTTAGGAAGATGAGACAAGCCTTGTCCAGAGCTCTTTAGCCTAAAGTTTAGGCGGAATATATCTACTAGTTATTAATCTATCACGGCTGTCTTCATACACCATGACAACTAACAATAAACAAAAAGAACGATTTTGATATAAAAAAACAGTGTTTATGCACGAAATACACACATTGATGTGCTAAATGCACCATAATTATCCGGCATGCGATTTTTTGGCGCTAACGATAATTTATTTTTTCTTCATCCGTGCTGTACAAGCATCAATCACATGAAAGTCACTGAACTTTCTGGTTTTTATTCGTAATATACATTCTTTGGTATTTCTCGGGCCTGGAACGTAAAATATAAAATTCATTGACTTTTCTCGGTTCCCTCCCAACCCGTGGGAACCATGCGCAAGAGACTGGTTGAACTATACAAGGTCTCACCAAAAGCGTATTTCATAAGCAACGCTTGAAACATAATTATAGCACCACTGTAAAATAATTACTGTCGTAAAACCTTAAACTTTCTCATTTAATTGTTTTAAAAAGACTACCTGTCTTTTATGAACTATAAACGGGCGTGATTATTTGACTAACATTGAAAAAGTTGATGTTTTATTGTACAAGCTGAGTGTCAAAATGCTGAAGTTAGATAACACGAGGCCAATGTATATTCACGCTAAACCTAGCATTAAGTCCTACCTAATAGGCTTACGTGAAACTTATCATTCAAGCTTAAAATTAGGCCTAACAAATTACCCGAAGAGATGCTATTATAACTGTCACGAACGGTAACACAGCAAAATAGTCCTTAAAACTTTTTAAACGTGAAAGTTTCATTCTGCTTTCTCAATTAAACACAATAATTAGCACACATCACAATGAAAAAGAAGGGATAGCCTACGTGGTTTGTGGCGGCTGTTGAGGTAGTCGTCCTTACACACAAAGCGATGTTCATCCAATACGTACAACTCTTCTCCTGTTGACAACTGTTTCCGGCACACCAGGCACGTGAAGCACGAGAGATGAAATACTTTTGTCCGGGCACGTCTCACTAAATCCGTGGGCGAGATCCCTTGACCACAACCCGAGCATTTGGTCCCAAAACGCCTAGAATAGTAGCAAAAAAAGAGAGAGAGAGAGAGAGAGAAAATATTATTCTACTTTCTGTTCTTCCCAAGTTCATTACACAAAATTAAAAGTATTTTTTTTTTGTCTTCATTTAGTTCGACCTGCTGCTTGTGAAACGTTTTGATGATTCCGACATTTTGTTAAAAACTTTGATTGTTTCAGGATTTCGTGCAAAGTTACAAAAGGGCTATCTGCGCACATCCGTCCCTAATTGTGGACTGATAGACCAGAAGAAAGGCAGCACCTACCGCCATCTCTTGGACTATTCTAGTCGAATAGTGGGATTTTTTTTTTTTTATGGAGCACCTCTGGCCACAAAGTATAAAGTATATATTCGCATTAGCAAGTCGCAAACAGTGAATCCTCGAATTTACAGTCTGGGCACGCTAACGATTAGCCACGACCAGTCCGGTAGTAATATTGGATAGATACTGAAAAAAAAATGAAAGTAAGATGTGAAAGAAACGAAATAATATTAAGATTTTAACTCTTTGTACTACTGCGGGTACACATCACTCTAAAGATAATATCGTAGATAGGGTTCTGTTGGTACCATTATTTAATGTGGGAAAACTTACGTGATATAACCTATAGTTCCTCCGTGGTTATAAGGAACGCATCCCAACCAAGACGCTTTGCACATAGATATACAGGATCGAGGCTTAAGGGAAATAACGTAGCAAATTTTCTAATGGAATCCTAACAATAATTCAAACAAAATCGAATCCCGATAGTATAAAAAACAAAACTGAAACCCTATAGTATACAGCAAACATAACTGGAACCCGAGCTTTAACTTTGTTCCTTAACCGATGGAAATAGCTAAAAATGTAAACATCTTTAATGGTGCTTATGTATAATAACCTCCATGTAAAGACATGTACTACATCGTATTAAAAGTTTTAATGAAAATGGTGAATTAGAAATTTGAGTTTGAGCTTTTGACATTCTAGCTTGAAGAGGGCAACAAGAATTTTAATAAATATACAGTTTCAGCTTAAAGGGGATGAGGCAATAAGTATTCGAATAAATGGAGATATACTTAATGTGATAATAAGATGTTTTAATAATTGCAATTCTAATTCAAGGGACAACGATAACGTGATAATAAGATGTTTTAATAATTGCAATTCTCATTCAAGAGACAACGATAACGTGATAATAAGATGTTTTCATAATTGCAAATCTAATTCACGGGACAACGATAACGTGAAAATAAGATGTTTTCATAATTGCAATTCTAATTCAAGGGACAACGATAACGTGATAATAAGATGTTTTAATAATTACAATCCTAATTCAAGGGACAACGACAACGTGATAATGAGATGTTTTTATAATTGCAAATCTAATTCACGGGACAGAGATAACGTGATAATATTTTAATAATTACAATTCTAATTCAAGGAACAAAGGTCAACCCGACAAGAAGATGTTTTAGGGTTTGTATCTTTGTTTAAGGAATAATGGCAAAAAGTTTGAAAAGCTAGTATCCCAAAATGAACAGATGAAAATATAGTTGTTAGGCATTGGTAAAATGGCTCTTAAGTTAAAATGAAGTAAAATATTTTTGCGGCTAATAGAATAACAACAAAAACATCTGGGTATCAAAATATACCATAAAAATAAATCGTGGTTAATTAACTTTCGTAAAAACACAATTTTATTTCTGGTTTAAGATAAAAATACTTGTACCAATCCTCCTGAGTTATACTTGTAAAACGGTTAATTAGTAAAACGGTTAATTAGTACAGAATAGTTGTTGTTGTTGTTGTTTGGTTTCGCGCGAGGCTATACACAAAGGCAATAGTCGTCTCTAAGTTTGAACTTGTAGACAAGGCAGCTTAGTCAACAGCACCTGCCGCCTGACGAGATAGAACGCCTATGGTCCCAAAGTGCACTGTCGTGGCATGGGACGCGAACCACGAACCGGCGGATTCACAGTTCCGGCACGCTCACCATTATGCCACGCCCAACACTAACAAAGTTAAATTACTGTACGCCTGTACGGTTTATTATTATTCTTGTGTAAAAACAAACTTTTCCAGTAGAAACTCGGAAATCGTTTTTAAACTGGATTTAAATATGCACGGAAGTTTCGAGTCTAAATTGTTTTTTGTTTTTAGCGCAAAGCTACACATTGGGCTATCTGCACTCTGTCTATCGCGGGGAATCGAACCTAGGATTTTAACATTGTCAATCCGTAAATTTACCGCTGACCCGCCGAAGGAGGAGCCTCTAAATAAACAGCTATTCGAGAAATTAAGATTAACCTCAACGTCCTCCCCTACCGGCAGAATCCCTAAGATATCCGATTTATCGCCTTACTTTACAGTGCTTCTATTTGGCATTTGAAATGCATAAATAGAACAACTTTTTCGGACGTTGCTCAAGTATTTGAAATATTAATAAAGTAAAGAAACAGAGTACACTTTCCGACTGGTATGACTAACTTCCTTTATTTGTTTCTTAATCATGGAAACGACATCATTCCTTAATGATATCGCAGTTGAATTAAAATTAATAGCACATTTTAAATTTTTGTTTTGTTTTGTATTAAGCGCATATCTGTACAAAAAGGACTATCTGCTCTATGGCCATCGCAGGGATCAAACTTACAATGCTAAAACCCGGGGTTCTATTCTCCGTGAATTAAAACAAAAGAATTCGAATTTTAATGTTATAAGCCCTCAAAGTTTACCGACGAGCCACCTGGGGGCAGATATGTTTCGATAACAAGCGATTAAAGTTTTGGTGGTATATTTCTAACAGAAACGCTAAAGAACATCTGGACGACTTCAATCAAAATTTTCCCTTGAAGACATCGTAGAATAAAACGTTTTTTTTTTTTAAAAAAAAAAGAGTTCCAAAAGACCCAATTTTAAAAGTAATTAAGCATTAGTTTTACGCACAAAAGATATGCGGGAGACGTAAAAATGTGAATTACAGGAATACTTGAGAGGTTTCCTTTTGGAGTTTCAATTTGCGTTCGAAATTTGAAATTTAATTATTCCAAGAATGATAAAAACAAGAAAGCAAAGTAACAATGATAACAGTAATCAACCACCTATAAGTAAAGCTGGATGTATTCCTTTCACCACTTGTACTTCCAGGCCTTGCCGATTTGACGTTATGTAAGAAAGGGGTGAAATACTGGTATATTTCTTTATAAGTCCACAAATGACTCCTGAATTTCTTATTAAATGTTTTCTCATTCAATGTTTGCGACCTACTACCACCAAAAACGCGCTCCTCATTAGGTGTCATGGGTGCGCTATAAGAGTAACGGTCAGATCTCACAATTCAGTCAGACAAGAATAGCCGAAGAAACCGCTGACTTTTTTTTTATCTAGCTGCCTTTCCTCTAGTCTATCAATTAAAAGTTAGGGAGGATTTTGCGAAGGTAACCCTTGTGTAGTTATGCGTGAAACTTCAGAAAGAATGAAACAGTCTTATGAGGAATGCAGGTACGTAAACTACGTGTGAATCAAAAGGATACAAGACACATAATACACAAATAGGTACATAAAAAGATGAATATTTATGAACATATATAAAAAGAAGGAAGGGCAGACGATTTGTTTTGTTTTGAATTTCGCGCAAAGCTACACGAGGGCTATCTGCGCTAGCCGTCCCTAATTTAGCAGTAAAAGACTAGAGGGAAGGCAACTAGTCATCAATATCCCACCGCCAACTTTTGGGCTACTTTTTACCAAGGAGGAAGGCAGCTAGTTATCACCCCCCCCCCACAAACTCTTCGACTACTCTTTTACCAACGAATAGTGGGATTAACCGTAACAGTATAACGCCCCCACGGCTGAAAGGGCGAGCATGTTTGGTGGGACGGGAATTCAAAACCGCGACCCGCAGATTGCGAGCCGAGCGCCCTAACCACCTGGCCATGCTGGGCCTACGATAGACGGACGAACATACAAACCCAAGAAGAAAACATTGCTAAGTATTTATATTTATTTAATTTCATTACTTAGGTTTCTTTAACAACCTTTTTTTTTTTTTAGTCAGATGTCAATCTCTTGCTGCACGTATTCTTATGCATGTATTATTATTATTTTTATTGTTGTGGAGCGATTTTGGTACCTTTTGGTTTCTAATATTTCATTTTGCTCTTCACATTTTTGATGTATGTTGCATATTAAATATGCCTCCAACAGACATGTCCCGGTTCGACCTCAATGATGTTCTCAATGGTTAGGCCTATTTACACCTCACTCTATACCACTAATAGTTATTTTCTGATAAACCTCCATTTACAAAATATTTACCCGTCAATGGATTCGATATACAGAAAAATAACAATATTAGTGTAATGAAAGTCATTATTACTCATCCACGACACCAGTTCAGGACTTGTCAAGACGATGTTTCCACCCAGTACGTAGACAAAACAACAAATATTAGTGTAAAGAAAGTCATTATTACTCATCCACAACACCAGTTCAGGACTTGTCAAGACGATGTTTCCACCCAGTACGTAGACAAAACAACAATATTAGTGTAAAGAAAGTCATTATTACCTATCCACAACACCAGTTCAGGACTTATCAAGACGATGTTTTCACCCAGTACGTAGACAAAACAACAATATTAGTGTAAAGAAAGTCATTATTACTCATCCACGACAACAGTTCAGGACTTGTCAAGACGATTGTTGTTGATCAAAGAGTTGTAAAAGAAGTTGATTACAGAAGGTTGTGTGTAATTTAGAACTAAACGATTTTTTGCATAATTATTACACTGTTATAATGTATTATCATCATTTGATAGAGCAATACAGTCTTCATGATCCTTGACTACCTATTTTATTATTATTCTATGCATAATTTAAAGAAAAATCATAATCCTATTGTAAACAATGTTATTACCCCCTTCAAGTTAGCTTTCTTACAGAACAATGGTGTATGTTGAAAAAGCTTGAGAACAGGGTGAAACAGAAATTGCCAGCCAATAATAGATGAGCT